CCAAAAAAAAGGCCTACCACCCCCCCTTACCCCACCCAAATAAATAAAGAGGGGCGATCAAGACAGAAAATGGCACTTAGCAAGCCTCAAGAGTAATAGTGTGACTGAAAGAGATCATACAGTGGCAATAGTTAAACCTTAAAAATACATTTAAGTACCTTAACTATTAACAAAAATTTAGCTAATTTGTGTGTCACTCGGCTGTAGATCCTCAAATCATCTCTGAATCGGTGCCGACACTGTCCTTCCTTCTGGAGGGTGGCCACTTTTGTTCTCCATGGTCCTGGTGTGTTGTGAAGTAGCCACCGCTCCAAGCTCACTCCCCTGATGGACTACAATCTCACATTTAGTTTACTAATTTGTATTGAGAATGTAATCCATCATGGGAGCGAGTTTGGAGCCAGTGGCTATGTTACAACACACACCATGACCATGGGGAACAAAAGTAGCCACCCTCCAGAAGGAAGGACAGTGTCAGCATAAATTCAAAGATGATTTGAGGATCTACAGCTGAGTGATGAACAAATAAGGTACATTTTTGTTAATAGTTATGGTACTTGAATGCATTTTAAGATTTAACTTCTGAGTTTAGCCTCACGTTAAGTGTGAAGTTAACATCCACCATGCTGCCAGAACAGCATGATAACACTTGGTGAACCAGGTAGAACTGCATACCTAGGAGATGGATATCTGCTAAAGAAAGGCCCAGGAAGTACTTATCGTTTTAGTAAAATGAGTGGCAACAGGGAAATAAGGATACTACCCATTCAGGGAATAACCCTGAGAAATGACCTGGCAAATTCTTCTAGAGATGATTGCACTGGAAGCCAAGGAATGTGAGGATAAGAAAGGGCACCTAGCAAGACAAGGCTGCCAACAAAGAAACCCTTATAGCTTAAAAAATAGGATTTTTGTACTCACCGTAAAATCCTTTTCTCTCCGTTCATTGAAGGACACAGGGCAACAGATCGTAGATCCTGAATGGTAGGGGATATCGCCACCTGCAGGAGTAGGACGCTAGGCACATAACAAAAAGACAAGACAGCCTAGGGGCGGCCCCTGCTGGTGGCCCAACCCCTCACTTGCTGACAAGTCTCCAGTAAGTAACAAGCAGTTAGGAGTACACACCCAATATAGAGGGCGGGACCTGTGTCCTTCAATGAACGGAGAGAAAAGGATTTTACGGTGAGTACAAAAATCCTATTTTCTCTCCCGTTCATTGAAGGACACAGGGCAACAGATCGTAGATCCTGAATGGTAGGGACGTCACCAAGCAGTACACACTGAGGGATGGGCAACAACAAC